AAGTCATATCGAGGACGAAATTAATGCATCACAGTCCATATCTCAGGTAATTTTTGCTCATTTATCTCGGAAACATCACAATCGCATACACTTAGCTGATTGAAATGAAGAATCTTTAATTGAAAAATGTTATATATGGATGTTCTTTAAAAAGGACTTACTAAGATTGTTTTGCGGAGCTTCTTGCGGTTAGAAAACTTAGCAAGAAATGTGATAAAAGGAGACGCCTCGATACATGACCAAGAAAAAAGGCCTGGATTGAATTTTCCGATGTTTCATCCTTCCCCGCGATTTCTAACTCCGCCACTCTGAAATGTCTACGTAGCAGTCGTAGTTGAAAGTTCCCTAGGTTTCCTGCCCGAAAACGATATCATTCATCTGCAAAGAAATCATTTTTCTAGACACGTAATTTTTTTTCGTCGACATGTCCGATTAGAAGCATGTAATCATGGATTTCCATATTACGTTGGAAAAATGTCTTAAATTTCGTCTCTAATCTCAATTAATGTTATTCTAGGAAATGTGCATTACCTTTATTGCAATATTACCTGTAACGGACAGACACTCTAAATCCGACCTTTAAGGGAACGATCCTTTTCCCCTTCGAAAAGCGTCCTTCGAATATTCACAACAATTCTAATGACAGCTATGGGTCTGCGCGTTTTATATATTCTGGTAATGGGAATCATAACACAAATGGCCATGGTCAATACGTCTCATGATTTATTTTTTAAGGGACAGCGGGAGAATGAAGAAAGAAGAGTTTGAGCCGCGTCCGGGGTGGAGCATCGAAGGTCGGCGGCTCGCTCCTGTAGATGACAGCGACCATGAGCGTAATAGTTGGCATGAAAGGAAAACCGATGCAAACAAAATGAGTCACTGGATATACGGTATGGGAATCGAGGTCATTTCAAGTAAAAAGTTACTGCCCAGAGAAGCACTCAATCGCTGAATGACAAGGGGGGAAAGTCGGGAAAGTCTCTTCCCGAGCGGGGACGAGGCAGTCGTGAGAATCTGATCCCGAGGCGGAATGAATTGATGGAAGGAGACTTATCACCAGTAGACGAGAAGGGTTGCAGAATATGGCTGTAATCTGTTCGGAGCTCTCCGCCATCGATAGGGATGTTGGAAAGGAAAGGGAAAAGGTTCTTTAAGATATTTACCCCCAGATTGTCCTTTTCTCGCACTTTCTCTGAGAGAAGATTGGGGTGAGAATGTGTTGTGACCAATTTCAAAGGCAAGGTGAAAGAGGTACTGAACAACCGCGTAATAAGAAGCACCTGCAGATTTTCTGTGATGAGAATGCACCTGTGTCTATTGGAATTATCGCTTACAGTAAGTTAGTAAAATTATAATGAAATTCGATTTTTTTCCTGCATTGTTTCGATTGAATACACATTTTCGAGGAATGAACGATTGTTGTCTTTTTTTCCCTTTTACTAATTTTTTTTTACTCCTTTTTTCATTCTTCCTCTGTCTCTTTTATACTCACCTCCTGCTCAACTCTTGCTAACGCATTTTTTCATACTGTTGTACGCGTACCTTCGCCTCTTTGCCTACTTCTGAAAAAGGCATCCACATACCACAACTAGTTGTCAGCGACGGCAGTAATTAGAGGAGGAACGAGTCATATGTGACTGACATGTAGATGAGGTATTGATAATGTCCGACATGCCCCTGGCTTTTCACTGAGAAAAGCTATTGCTTTGCCCTTTGAGGCCACTTGCGCTGGGGGTCACGAGGCATGTGGCACTGTTTTCGGATTGACTTGATCCCCCCCCCCCCGCCCTTCACCCCCTTAGGAGCGCTTCCATCAAGTGTTGGAAGGGACGAAATGTGTACTATCAGTAGAATCCTTCATGACTCTGAGACACACAATTCAGGAACCCCTGCTCGGTTGAGCAAAAAAGGTTTTCCAAAGAGGTCAAGGAAAGGAGAAATGATTGAGACTATCTTAAACCACTAGAGGCGGAGCTAAGAGTATCCCAGCTTCAGGCGACGCTTTTTTCTAACATTTTCTCTTTCTGCTTTGATAGGCTCATTACCGGCGAGATCATGAGATGCGCTTTTTCCAATAATGTTGTGGCTTCCTATGCTGAAAAGGGAAAACGAATCATTATTCGAATCATATAGTTAACTTAATGTTTTTGGATGGTTAATTCCTGTAGATCAGAATATAATGCTACGATGACTGTCTCAAGTATGGATGATTTCTTGAAGCCTCTTCCTTCCGAATGGCCTGGAATCTCCACTTGTTTAATATTAGATGCAGTATTAGACAGCATGCAGTGAATTTCAAAGATTGGACACGAAATTACCAAGATAGCAAGATATCCTGAAAATTGGAAAATTACCTTTCAAGATCATTCATTGCATTCATTCAATTTCCAAGAAAATTTCCTTCTCTACGCTAAGCCCAATTGCTGAATTACCGGAAATCCGACAATCATACAGTGCAGCACGATTGACATGGCTTATTGTCTTGACATATTATTCTTTGTTCATTCTTTACAATAGCTGGATACGAATTCGATCGAATAACATTTGTATCAATAGCGTAATGGTATTCTCTTTTCTACTTTCTTCGTTTATGCAAAAGCCTTACTTGGTTCTGGCTGGGTTGCAGGTCTGGCACTGTAAAAGGCTAGGACGACTGGTTCCGAAGGTACCACCACCCCCGAAATTTCCCATGATCACGTTATGCTAACAAATCATTTTTCTGGAAAATTATTCTTCCTATATATTAATAGATGGAAGAGATTCATGCAGACAGTTGAAAGAGTCCCTGGTCTCGTTCTTGTGGGTATTGCTACCAACTCTGAATTTAAAACTGAAACCGTTCCCCAGATCTATAAAACTGAAATTAATAATGTGGTCAATCTCATCAGCTGACCTTAGGCATCAATCCAGGGTAAAAATGAATGTTAACCTTTTCTCTGTCCGCTTTACAGTCAAATCCATGCGCCATTCTTAGATGCAATACGTGGGATGTGCTGAAAGTTTCTAGCAGCGCCTAAACTATGAGACCAATAAGAATCGTCATTGTTTCATTGTATAGGATAACATGCTTTAATATGTCAGGGGAGGTATGGTTTCCGCCTACTCATTGTAAGTCATTCTGTGTGTGCTTCAGTACGAGGTGCTTGCAATAGCTGATAACTGATAATATTAATAACTAATAATGACAAAGGGTCTGCCTAATGGATCATGATATTTTTAAAATGTTAACGTGGCTTGTCCAACGACCATTGCCATGTAAGTTTGCATGTTGCTTTTGTTGGGAATATGGGCCATCATCTGCAACTGTCGGGTTCTGGTTCAGAAAATTACAGCGTGGGTAGCAGTCATTTGAATATGACCTACTGTCCAGGCGATTATCAGCGGCGTTGACTCTTGAAAATGTTTGAAGGGTCGATCACACGATGAAGTAGCGAATTAACATTAATAACAATACAAACAATACAAACGATCCTACGTGGACACCTGCGGTTGAATAAGCTATCAAGTCAGTGAATCCGGCATTTCTTGACAACTGAGAAAGAAGAGATCTCCGGGCTCGATTCATGCTGGAAAAAAAAACTGGAAGAATGAGATCCGATTTAGAGTCGCAAATTAGAACAGTTGCTCAAACCTGGGCACAGTTATGACCCTGAAGCAGAGTTGCAACAGACGGACTGGCTCTTCGATGAAGATCCTCCAACAAAAGTAGTTTGATCCCAAAGCGTCGGAGAGCCTACAGTACTGATTCCATCCGCCAAAGGAGCCTGGTAAAGATTGCGCCACTTTTGGAGTATAACACAGAGCTATTTTCAAAGATAATTTATTTGAAGAGTGGGCATCGTGTACGAAGATTTTCATATGATTTTACTGCCAAGTTTTCAGAAAGTAGACCTTCATGGCATGTTGTAAGTAATTTATTTGAGAACGGTGACAAAGACCTTAATGATTTTCGGCCTGTAGCCTATTCCTTGCTCTAGTCTTTAGTCGGGCATGGACTGATCAGATTTTTTGATAATAGATCGTCCAGGATACTTTGAGGACCCTCCTGCAAATGGGGATCCGTACGGAAAGGTCGGAGTAGAAGGCAGCACAATGCGCATGGGTTCATATTGTTGTCAAAGGCGGTAAGCCTGTTTCGTATTTGTAAATTGTGCAAAGACATATACATATGCAAAGACATAGGACTCCACCTTCTCATGACTTCAAAATATCAGTGCGTGACAGTGAGAGACTTGTAAGAACATCGCAAAAGAAAAATATCCGGGAAAAGGAAGAAAGGCAGGTCTAATGAACGGAAAACGCATACAAATGTCTGTCCATGGCTTGAATTAGCCCATCATAAGACCACGCTAGATAGCCTACTTGTTATACCTCGTTATTGGCACCCTTGCACTTAGGGTCATAAGCAGCTTTTGAGGTCTGTCATGAAGACATACCATAACAATGCTTGGCTACTTCTAAATTCAACTATATCACAGCCAAGTTAGCATAAAGCCAATGCTGTAAATGCCTTTAATGCTAGGGGGGCCTCAACAGGAATTTTTCATGCCATTAATAACTTTGATTTAATTTTTTCAAATAAAAATAGGCCTATCTCCATCTCAGACTATTTCAGAACACCGGATCCCTGAACGATTCGAACACGGTCTCCATCAACTGCCTTATATCCCACGCAGCGAGATAACATGTCTAAATGAACCCATGCATACTGTGCTGCCATCATGTGGAAACTATTTCAGTGCCTGTCCCAATTACAGCAAGACCGACATGTCCATTCTCGATGGCAAATGATTTGTCAGTAGCCAGTATGAATTACCCTGTTGATCCACTGTATGAATCTGAGGAGAAAAAGGAGAAAAACGTATTTTTAGATGAGAAGGGAGGAGAGGGATGCGAATGGTATAATTGGGAAGCATATGTGCAGAGCAAATTTCGTGTATTTGTGCGTGTCTGCATTGGCAAAAATGCAGAAAACACTTTCACAATTTTTTATAATTTCAGATATCAAATGTTGCATCTAGTTGAATCAATTGTGATTTGTCAGAAGCCACTATTGTATTACCCTGCTGATCCACTGGGTGAACCTGATGGGAAGAAGGAGAAAAATTTAGTTTTTGATGAGAAGGGAGGACAGAGATGCAAATGATATAATTGACTTGGATTAACCCGGTCTCACCTATTAACTTTGGTGAAAATTCCATACTGCCCAGGGCGTCTCATGGAACAAGCACCTTTTTGGAAAAAGTGACTAGCAATCCCTTCCACTGTCCAGTGGCTTTCATGTGATGTATTGGAGAAGAAGACCATGGGACTTCCCCCGTCCCCTGTACAAATTGTTCGAAAATCTGTGCAAAAGAAACCATCATGACGACTGCTATTCCCTTAATTTATTATTTTAAAAGTTGTATAGTGGTATAAAAAATGCATGAAGAAGTCTAATGACAATACGCAACTCAACGTTTGTCCATGTCATATTTGCAGTTTTCAGCCATTTTTACAGTAATATGCGATGTCACTACCGACAAGTGGCATGTTCTGGCGGTAACTGCATGAACCAGATAATGCTCCCCTTATGTACAGTCAATTCAAATCTACCATTCCTATTCCTTCATGTGAGTTAGTGCTCCGGCCAAGATATATATTGAAATACCCTCGTAGAGTTGCCATTAGTTTGACATCTGAGCTTTCACACTTCCACCAGTCTTACCGAAAGTTACTGTCTTGTTGGCAGTCTCTTTTCTAAAACATAGGACTGGTTTTTTCAACCACCTGCAATCGATCCATGATCGCCGTAATGTGCCTATACTATAAGAACGTTTTCCGGAGAATTCAGAGCAATGCAGAGGAAATAAAGTTGCCGTGTGATGCGCGGATGAGACAACCTACCTTCATGGTCCCAACGATGCATTTATTCCATTCCTACATTACGATGGATTCCTAGGAAGTGCCATTTTGAATTACTTTAACTGAAGCGGACGGGAAATTCGACACAAGAATTCTCCACGAAAAACAGGAAATAATTTTCAGTTTCACTCTGGGAATTGGTTCCTACGACTCTTCAGGCGATTCACACTTTGCGTGTCATGCACCCTTGGCGCCAATGTTGGGGCAGATAGGCGGACGCACTCGCGTAAAAGCATGTCCACACGCGTGTCCTCTAGCATTTAAGAGCTTTCACAAAGCACGAGACTTGCATGTGGAATGACGAGGAGCTGAATTTACTATCTCAGAAAAAAATTTGTTAATTTGACGCAATCACGGATCACGAGACCATACCTTCAAGAGGAGTATCCGCAGAAAAACCAGCGCAAAACATATTTGAGGTGAGGGTAGGAATGACGCCGGGGTCCCCTGTGAAATTAAGGGTGTCCCAAACACATTTGCGATTGGATATGACCGGGAGTTGAACCTCCGTCAGGACAGCTGCGAGTTCATCCGAACCGTCATGACCCCAACCGGTCACCTGCATCATTACACAATCGTAGAAAAAAACGTAAAAAAAAATCAAGAACGCTGGAGGTAAACTTTTAGGTAGAGAAATTAATATATTTTGTGTCTTACCCATCCTGGCACTCCACTGTCGAGGTTTAACTCAGATAAATCAAATCTGTTCGGGAGACATATCAACTGAACTCGAGCCGTTAGCACAGCAGGTCTTCCTAGTTTCAATAAAGCTATATCCGAGTCGTAGTTATTATGTACGTTGAAGTCCCTGTGCAAGATTATGTGAGACACCTGCAAGGAGATTGCGACAGTTTGCATAATCAGGAAAGAATGGATGGAAATTGGAAAATGTTAGGCTACTGAACTTGTCTGAGTTGTGCGTGTTCGTCTTTTTTGATGTAAGATCGGTAATGCTTCCCAAGGTAGACAAAAACTTCTTCAGTGTGCCGAGTTCTGATGGAACCATCCACAACGACACAATGGGCAGCTGTTAGCACCCATTCTTCCCTAATGAGAGCCCCTCCACATATAACATCTCCTATCTTGATGTCATAAATGGCCGCTTGCCATGGCCATTCTCCAATTTCGGATGGATTTCCTCCTGCGGATAGTTGAATTTGACTTGCCTTCTTTCCGCATACTACGTATAGAACGGTACAAATAGAGTCATTCGGAAATAGCAGAGATGTGTCAGTTGAAAAGGGTAAAGGTTGAAATATGGTAGTAAAAAAAACCGACCTGGCTTACAAAACGGGGTGGGTCCGGTCCATTCTCCATCCTCTGCACATCTTCTGAATTCCGGTCCCTGCAGTTCATAATATTTCTCGCATCTGTATCTAACGACGGTCGAAAATGCATAGCTTTCATCTTGAATGCAGCTTTCATTGCTTCTTTTAGCAATCTCTTCAGATGGGCTGCCACAAGACTCGATAGTAATGAATCCATGTTGAATGGTGCTGAGTTGTCCGCATCCGATCACTCCGCCTGTTGACGAAAAAATATAGAGTTGTTGTTATGACTGGAGCAGCATTGAATGCATCCACTGAGTTCGACTCAAATACCGTCTGTGATTTTGCCTGTTTCCATAAATTGCATCTGCATGGTTTTTCCCTCATTATTTCCCATGAGTTTCTTTAAGAGTTTAAGGACTCCTGGACATATGACCAGTCAACATAATTGTTGGGAAGTTCTTACCTTTCCATAGCAATAGGTACCTTAGGATTCAGTTTACTATTTGATCAAAGAGAATACTGATGGCGCTCTGATATTTTGTACCTCAAAGGAAAATGCTCAGGTTAACGGGATTTTGTGGCGACATTCCAATTTTGATGAATAGGATGACACGATTCTAACGAACTTTTATAACAGAAAATTGACCTCAAACAATTGTACATGATGAAATATTTTTCAATTCCATATGAATCAGAATACCTATATTAGTCTGAACTGATATGAACGCCATGGACCACTCTACACTCTTAGAAAATTCGGAGCGTATGGGGAGTAAAAAGTGAGCACACCGTGAGCTTTTCGAATTTACTCTCTTATTACTCACCAAATGCTCCCTCATCTTTCATATCGAAGTGAACACCTTGAAGTTCTTCGCCAAGCCACTAGATGGAGGCAAGGGTCTCGCTTTTCAATATGAAATAAGGACAGTAACTCCAGTCCTAAACAAACTCCCATAATACATTTTTAAACTCCCAACTATTCCTGAAAACTTTGCGAGAGGAAAAAAATACACGTACATCTTATTTGTCGTATAAAGCTTCAGTGTGAAATTTACGAGCTGGAAAAAAAAGAATTTTTGGCGAATAAATTCTATTTATCAGTTGTTTTTCTGACACAAATACACACTTTCGGATCACATGAGTTTGCGACGAATTTATCAGCAAAGGATATGCAAGTTATAACAAGCCAAGACAATTGGAAACACAAGAATAATAAAAATGACGACGAGAAGGGCGTCCATGGGGAATCCGCTCTTTCTGCGATGTCCTTCTTCTTTCTTCAGGTATCACCGTCCAGCTTGGAAAATGCATAAAAGAGATCTGATTGAGGCATTTAGATCATCATACATTGAAACTTCACCTCAGATTTTATACCTCCCTTCTATACCCTTATTTGCCCTCCAATGAAAAAACCTGCTCATAAGAAACATTACCTTTTTCTGATGTGTTAAAAAAATGTATCACATTTAATTTGACATATGGAACTCACGAGCAGGTGTACTTCTGACTCAATACCTCATTGAGTCATAACCTTTGGCATGACGTCATGTTCGACTTAATATTCCAGTGATACTGACAGGCATTGAACTCTTGGGATTCTGCAAAATAATATTTAAAGAAAAATTAAAAGTTTCGTTTTTAGAACCAACTCGAATAAATTATTGCATGAGCAAGTTCTTCAAAACCTCTGAATACTTAAAAAAATGTTACACGGAGTCCAATAATTGCAATTTTCAGTGGTGTGCTTCAAGTTCGATAGAAACGACTATAAATGAGCAAGACATAAATGAAGTAAAGAAGACCTTCCATATAATTTGTGAGTGCATACCTTGTACCTTCTTCTGCTCCAATGATGAATCACTCTTGAAGATCCAATTCAATGTCATCACAGAAGCCCGCGACAATGCTCTCAGAGAGTTGCTGCCTGGGAACAAAGACGGAATTAGATCTGGATCATAAATTTTTTAAGATGAGGAATATTTACATTTTAAGAATGAGATCTATTTTTGCGGTGTTAGGTATCAGATTATTTGGAGCAAGTCAGAGACATAGAAACTCCATAATATACTAGAATCAGGAAAGGGTCCATCAAGAAAGGTATGAAATGCATGATGATAGAAAATAACTTTTGTAGCTCATACTGAGTTATGTCATCATCTGATCCCAAATCTGCCTCATCCATCCTCTCTGAAGATATCCCTTCCATGGGGGCCTCCAACTCCACAGGTACGAGAGATAATAATTTCAATGGTGATGGCAGCTCCCGTTTCTCTGGAACATGAGAAAAATCCATATTCTGTCATGCCCCTGTGCTGCCATGAACACGGAGAAAGGCTGCGATCATGAGACATATATACATCCTTCATTAAATATAAATGACTCTCAATCCCCTAATGTTGGAAAGAAGCCAACCATTTAATTGGCCAATAGAGGTGAGGAACTCCTTCCTGCTTAGGACAGTTGTTGCTAGAGGAATCTTGCGCGTGCTAGCAACGACAGCATATGCGTGGTGTTGCGCGAAAAGTTCCCCTGTAATCAGATGAAGAAACCTTCCCTGGAATGCGACCAATACGACGAAATATCAGAAAATTCAGGAACCCACCTTCACTTTCAGCCTTGTTGATGATGGCAATAACAGTTTTAAGGCAGTGACTTCTAAGGGATTCCTGGATGGCTGCAGCCTGCTTAATGTCATCCACCATGAAGGCTGTGGGGATATTTTTGTCACCATGGAAGCGACCCTGATGGTCATTAAGACCTAAGAGGCATTTTTCGGCTTCTCCTAAGCTCTGTGAGAAGGAATAAGAGCAAAGAAAAGGCATTTTTAACTTTGAGAGTAACGCAATATTATTGCGTTACAAGCGAGATGAAAACTGCAACAGTTAATCAAGCGCAAAAGAGGAACAATCAGGGAGTTTGTCTGACTGGGATATGCTCTCCTTATGAATCCACTATAGTAAAAAATTGTTTCTCGAAGAGGACGAAAGGGCGCTTTCAACACATTTTGAATTCCGAAGTCCAGGCCGAAATGCACTTTCCGGGATTAGATTTCGCTGGTCTCTTCATGCAACTCGCGGATAGGATAAAGCAGGGTCACTCATCGATCAATCGCCTGGATGAGGCTGCGATATTTCATGGTCAGAAGTTAATAACCAGAGAAACGACTATCCGTTACGGATACTAGAAGATGCTGACAGACGAAGTGCTCCAGATTGCGAGAAATTCTGCCTTTGCCTTCAAGAACGGACTCGAAGCCAGCATTGCAGAAGGGGCATTGCATGTGAAAAGAAGGCTCGCTCCGTGGACACACCCGATCAATCTGGAAGCCCGCAGGGCTGTTAGCAACTCTGGATCTCATCCTCGTATTTCTCTCCCCGCGACCCTGGGAGGTATCCACCCCGACAATAAATCTTCCTCTTCGTCTCCTCACGCCTTCTTCCTCAAGGCCGTTCCTAACACGCTACACAACGGTGAGCGTTGAGCACACACGCTAACATGAAGGCCCTTGGAAAAAATCCCTTGGAAAATTGAAATACCCCCGGACACCTCGACACCGTAAATAAATAAAAATCCGACTAAAGCATAATAAAGATTCCCTATATTGTGCGAAAAAGTTTACGATCCTTTGGGAAAACCATGTCTCTAAGTATCACACTTAAGGCAGCGCAATACCCTCCCTGAAAAAAGAGCAAACCGAGAAGCGTNACTATTCCTGAAAACTTTGCGAGAGGAAAAAAACACACGTACATCTTATTTGTCGTATAAAGCTTCAGTGTGAAATTTACGAGGTGGAAAAAAAAGAATTTTTGGCGAATAAATTATATTTATCAGTCGTTTTTCTGACACAAATACACACTTTCGGATCACATGAGTTTGCGACGAATTTATCAGCTAAGGATATGCAAGTTATAACAAGCCAAGAACAATTGGAAACACAAGAATAATAAAAATGATGACGAGAAGGGCGTCCATGGGGAATCCGCTCTTTCTGCGATGTCTCCTTTCTTCAGGTATCACCGTCCAGCTTGGAAAATGCATAAAAGAGATCTGATTGAGGCATTTCGATCATGAAACCATGCCTTTGTAGGTATGAAGGAGCATCCAGCCATGTGATTTGGTAGCCATGTAACACAGGGAAAGTCAGAATCTACAGTGGTTTGTGGGAAAGCCCTTATTCTCTTTGCAGATCTATTTTTCAGTACCTATATGCATTTCTGCTAATGAAAAGGTGGAAATGAATGCTAAGACTAATTTGCCAAAGCAGAGAACTTAGGTGGCCTTATTTCCAATTTTGGTAATAAGAAAGTGATGCACTGCATCTCAAAAATATGGGTGGGATTTTGATGAACTAGCAGACCCATGGAAGACTTCCCATCACGTTTCGTTTGATGCAGGCAGGGCCAGCCCTGTTTCGGCACCCTGTGTAAGGAATTCCCAACGCCCCCCCCCCCCCCCCCCTCCCCTTCTTTCTTCGGAAGGGAGAAAGGTCAACCCCTGGCGTCCAAGAAGACGCCGAAACGGAAGAAAAGCCTAAACGCATTTCCATTTTGTGAAGTAAAACTGGAGGTGGCAGCCATAATGGTTCATCTATCCTTGCACGTTTTCGCGCCCCTGGTGAATTTGCGCATTGTGCAGGGCACATGTGGCACATGCCTAAGGCCAGCCCTGCATGAAGGCCCATGAGTGAAGAGAATGGATTAAGATACGAGATGGTTAAGAAGCGGCCGACTTCGTCATTCCAATTAGAGCATTCCGTTTCTTAAAGATGGCCTATAAGTTAAAAATATGCTTTAGAAACGGATGGTGCATATGAGGCCAACGGCGTCTTTCCCATCCAAGGGTAAGCGCTCCCGTTCTGTTCGATCCAGAGGGTATCCCCCCATTTTCATTCTTGGGAGTCACTCCACTTATGAGAGTGCATAAGTGGAGGAAGTATCCCAAAGTTACAATTTCTCTTCGCATAATCAATTCCTTAGTTTGCGGTAAATGAATTTTTTTAGTTAGTATGGTGTACATATTACTTCTAAAGATATTGCTTCTAAAGAAGTAGTCTTTTGGTAGCCATTAGGCAGCTTCTGTGTCATAATTATTTAACAACATGGCTATAATTTAAAATATGCATTTTTCCTCAAGATACTTCGGTGGAACATGTGGTACATCTTATCACTCATCCTTTAACAACAATCGTGCGCATATCTTTCAGACGAGAACTTACTGGGAATACAGACCCAAGGCGAATCGAGTACTGCTTCATCCCGTGAAGCTTCCCCTAATCGAGACAGCGACTCGCTCTCGTCCTTCAAGCCTCCTATCATCCTTCATCGTTCTCGCCAGGGATTCGGCTTCACCATGAAGACGATTCCGGTTTACTATGGTGATACAGACCTCTACATTCTTCATCACATTGTGAAGGTAAGTTACGTCTTCTCTTTTTTGAGCATCTTCGGAATAGAAAGCTTGATTCAAATTTGAAAAATTACATTGCAGGCAGTGAATGAGGGAAGTCTGGCGCATGAAGCCGGTCTCCGAACGGGAGACCGCATCACCCACATCAACGGAGAGTCGGTCCAGGACCGGCTCCACACAGAGGTCCTCCAGATGCTTTTGTCTGGGAAGGATCCGGTGTCCATCCACGCCACCCCGCTGGAAAACACGTCGATCAAGGCCGGAGGGCGAAGAAGAAGCGCGGCGAAGGCTAAATTGACTCGGCGGACTCATAGAGTGCACCACGGTGGAAAGGGTCGGGCTGGGGCCAAGAGTTCGCGCAATAAAAAGAAATCCCTTTCGAAACGTGTAAGCGTCAAGAGGGCTGTAGCAGAAGCTCAAAAGGTAGGCTAATCCATGATCGCATAACTCTCTCAATTTATATTACAGGAATTTTCATACAGTATTCAAATAGGAAATAAACAAGGAGAACATATCACTTTCGTATGTTGAACACAGGATCAGTGATGGATGCAAGGGAAGGATCTGTTCTCCAGAACAGACCCTGAGCCCCAAAGTTGTGTAGCCTTTCTTGCTTCCAGTCTCACACGTTCCCTATGACCTTTCCTCATTCCGTTTATTTTTGGGACATTAATTCAATCGGAGAAAGAAGACCATGCACAGCATTGTCTCTAATGGGGCCCAGGTTTCTCAGCGATTACTCTTAACCCACCACTCAGGTTTTCCTTGAAATGGTAAATTATTTTACCTAAGTTGCTGAGATGAATAGTTAAATTCAATTTGCACATTGCTGATTACAGAATAGCCGAACTGAATGGTTTCAGGCCTTGACGAGTCAGCGCAGAGTGCCAATCCTTCATCGATCTCTGTCCACATGCGAACCTCCATTCCATAATGAAGAACTCTCTCAAAGAGTGCGGCCAAGATGTGCCCCATTTTTTAGGCCGTTGAATTTATAGTCAAACTTGGTATCAAATTAAAGATCTCGTCGAGCTGATTACGAATATATAGGTGTCAAGATATAGACTTTTACAGTTGCAGAGAAAACGGGCTCTAAAGGTACCAACCCCGGTAGATGGCGCCACCAGCTCGTCATTATAAAATATGACTCAATCGAGCAATGACGAAATCACGAGCACAAACCAAAACGAAAATAGCTGGCGACGAAAAGGAACCATGCTTTGGTGTGAAGACCAGTTCTACGTGTGATAATGANAATAAAAATGATGACGAGAAGGGCGTCCATGGGGAATCCGCTCTTTCTGCGATGTCTCCTTTCTTCAGGTATCACCGTCCAGCTTGGAAAATGCATAAAAGAGATCTGATTGAGGCATTTCGATCATCATACATTGAAACGGCACTTCAGATTTTATACCTCCCTTCTATACCCTTATTTGCCCTCCAATGAAAAAACCTGCTCATAAGAAACATTACCTTTTTCTGATGTGTTAAGAAAATGTATCACATTTAATTTGACATATGGAACTCACGAGCAGGTGTACTTCTGACTCAATATCTCATTGAGTCATAACCTTTGCCATGACGTCATGTTCAACTTAATATTCCAGTGATACTGACAGGCATTGAACTCTTGGGATTCTGCAAAATAATATTTAAAGAAAAATTAAGAGTTTCGTTTTTAGAACCAACTCGAATAAATTAATGCATGAGCAAGTTCTTCAAAACCTCTGAATACTTAAAAAAAAGTTACACGGAGTCCAATAATTGCAATTTTCAGTGGTGTGCTTCAAGTTCGATAGAAACGACTATAAATGAACAAGACATAAATGAAGTAAAGAAGACCTTCCATATAATTTGTGAGTGCATACCTTGTACCTTCTTCTGCTCCAATGATGAATCACTCTTGAAGATCCAATTCAATGTCATCACAGGAGCCCGCGACAATGCTCTCAGAGAGTTGCTGCCTGGGAACAAAGACGGAATTAGATCTGGATCATAAATTTTTTAAGATGAGGAATATTTACATTTTAAGAATGAGATCTATTTTTGCGGGTTAGGTATCATAGATTATTTGGAGCAAGTCAGAGACATAGAAACTCCATAATATACTAGAATCAGGAAAGGGTCCATCAAGAAAGGTATGAAATGCATGATGATAGAAAATAACTTTTGTAGCTCATACTGAGTTATGTCATCATCTGATCCCAAATCTGCCTCATCCATCCTCTCTGAAGATATCCCTTCCATGGGGGCCTCCAACTCCACAGGTACGAGAGATAATAATTTCAATGGTGATGGCAGCTCCCGTTTCTCTGGAACATGAGAAAAATCCATATTCTGTCATGCCCCTGTGCTGCCATGAACACGGAGAAAGGCTGCGATCATGAGACATATATACATCCTTCATTAAATATAAATGACTCACTCAATCCCCTAATGTTGGAAAGAAGCCAACCATTTAATTGGCCAATAGAGGCGAGGAACTCCTTCCTGCTTAGGACAGTTGTTGCTAGAGGAATCTTGCGCGTGCTAGCAACGACAGCATATGCGTGGTGTTGCGCGAAAAGTTCTCCTGTAATCAGATGAAGAAACCTTCCCTAGAGGTGAGGAACTCCTTCCTGCTTAGGACAGTTGTTGCTAGAGGAATCTTGCGCGTGCTTGGAACGACAGCATATGCATGGTGTTGCGCGAAAAGTTCCCCTGTAATCAGATGAAGAAACCTTCCCTGGAATGCGATCAAAACGACGAAATATCAGAAAATTCAGGAACCCACCTTCACTTTCAGCCTAGTTGATGATGGCAATACCAGTTTTAAGGCAGTGACTTCTAAGGGATTCCTGGATGGCTGCAGCCTGCTTAATGTCATCCACCATGAAGGCTGTGGGGATATTTTTGTCACCATGGAAGCGACCCTGATGGTCATGAAGACCTAAGAGGCATTTTTCGGCTTCTCCTAAGCTCTGTGAGAAGGAATACGAGCAAAGGAACTATTTTTTAACATTGAGAGAGCGATGGGAAGGCTGATACATTATTGCATGCTCACCTCAACTGCAAATACGGCGCTACGAAATGGTTGATCAAAACAACCCTCAGGCACCTCAAGGTGACTTCCAAGAAGCGTGATAATCTCAGTCAGCTCCCAGTTTTTCAGTATTCTGTGTTACTTGTCCGCCTATACATAGTTCCACATAGCCCTTCCATTATTTCTCCTTCTGGGTTTTTGAATCTCATGAAAGGTTTGAACGCCTCGTCTGTCACATGCTGTGAATACCTGTGGTCCATCTCTTCCTCCCTTATTCCAGCAAGCCTGTAAAATTGCGATATTTGAAGTGCTTTTTTTTCT